TATTATTGTGAAATGTTCTTCTTTTTATCTCTAGTAATCTTTCTTGCTTGAAGTCTTCTCTGCCTAATGCTACTATAGCCACTCCAGGTCTTTTGATTAGTATTTGCATGGTATATTTTCCCCTACCCTTTTATTCTTTTTTTTTTTTTTTTTTTCCTGAGAGAGGGACTGGTTCTTTATTTCAAAAAGACACTTATCAATATGCAGTATCAAAACAGGTACACTATTGGTTTCTCTTTCTCCCAATCGGCCCCAAAAAGACCACACCAAAGGAGAGTAAATTTTAAGTCAATAAGCTGCAGGATGTACACCTAACAGACTTCATAGAAACCTTACCAAAAAGTGGGGACTGGGAAGGGAAAGAAACTTCAAAGATCAGCACACTGCCAGCCCACAAACTGTAGGCTCTCACAGCCAGATGGGGTGGCCAGGGCACCCCAAACCCAAAGAAGCAAAGTTTTAAAATAATATAAAATTTTAAAAGTTTTGTACATAAGCTATTCAAGATTTCTCCAGCACTGGCTGATACAAAGCACAATGAGATGGCACTTTTAGAGACAGCAGCTTCAGACCCCAAAAAGGGTAATGAGATGAGTTTCATATGGCTAAATCAGTGGCAAAAATCATAATTTTCTTTCAAAAATGCAGGAGAGCAATTAAGTGGTCACCTCAACATAAGGGGCACATGATCCATTCTGTGAGTGGCTGGGAAGGGGGTAGACGTAGGTCAGAAATTTGATCTCAGAGGTCTCACCATCTTAATTTGGTCACTTCTAATGAAAAAAAAACTAAAAAAAGTTGTCCAAAGATACCTTAAAGCTGAAAACCTGAACAGCACATTTTTGTTGTTGTTTTGGCTAACTCCTCCTGGAATCACCTTTCTGGTTTGGCTAGCACTTTGTACAGAGCAATGAAGTTTCCCATAGTGGAAACTTTTCCAGGACTCTGTTTGGTTCTCAGTAAGGCAGGCTCACACTTTTTTTCCCTTCTCCATGGGGAGGGTAATATGTATTAAACAAAAAAGTCACCTTCCAAAAGAGAAAAAGGGATTAGTTTGCTGCTTCAGAGCTGTGGAATTATTTGGAATGTTTTTTACCAATGGTTGCTTCAAAACAACAAAAAAGGTTAATTACAAAATGTGTAAATCACAACATGCTTTTAAAGACATTTTGCATTGTGCTCACATTCTCTTAAATGTTGTTCCCAGATGTGCTCAGCCTCTAGCCCAGCTGGAATCTCTGGGAAGTAGCAGAGACAGTTTGGCGAAAGAGACACAGCGCCGTGGAGGGAACTGCGAAAGGAGAAAGCAGCCTTCCAGTTAAAGATCAGCCCTCAGGTTAAAGGTCAGCTTTGGGCAGGCTGGCCTCAGGCTGAGTTCAGGTCAGAGGGAGAATCAGCGGCAGGGTGGGCCTGGGGTGCTCTACATCTCATTCAGGTCCAGCAGAGTCTGGTCCAGCATCCTTTGTGTACAGAGGTGCTCCTCTTTGGTGCATTTCAGTTTATCTTCCAAATCATCAATTTGGCTTGGCTACCGATCTGTCAGCAAACTCAGCACGAGTCTCTGCCTCCTTGAGTTTATCAGTAAGAATCTTGATCTCTTCCTCATATTGGTCTTCTTTTTGAGAGTACTTTTCTTCAGCAGCACTCAGACACTTCAGGTTCTGGTCTATTAGTCTGATCTGCTCATCCATCTCTCGGCAACGGGATTCTGCCAGCTCAGCTTGCTCCTCTGTGCGTTCCAGGTCTTCTTCAATAATCACCAACTTAGGAGCAACCTCTTCATATTTCCTATCTGCCTCTTCTGCAATGTGCTTAGCTTCTTTGAGTTGGATTTCCTGGAGTTCCATCTTTTCTTCATCTTTTAAGGCCCAGTTTTCAATAACCTTCATACCTCTCTCGCTCTCATTAGCAGCTTTTTCTGCTTCTTCCAGCTTTTGCAGGGCAGTGGCCAGGTGCTCCTGAGCACGGTCCAGCTCCTTTTGGACCAGCTGGATCCTACGGTTCAAGGAGGCCACCGCAGCCTCAGCCTGCTCCTGGACCCGCCTTTCTCCCTCCACTTCTCGCTGCAGCCGCTCGGCTCTTTCCTCAGCATCATTGGCCTGCTGCTGCAGAACCTGGATCTTGCGCTTCACCGCCTCGATGGTGGTGATTCCAGCCATGGGGCCCACCCAGCTGCCTCTCGAACTCGGTTCCTGCCTCCTCCGCTCGGCGTTGCAGCTGCTTCTCACCACAATATACTTATTGAGATGCTTTTTCTCCTGCTCAAAAGAGATTTGAGCTTTTTGATTTTGATACTTTTTAGTGCTTCTGCTGTTTTTTGTTTCACCTCTTTCACGTTAGCAAAACGTTTTCCTTTAAGGACTTTTTTTCAACTGGAGAAACAAAAAAAAAGTCACTCAGGCAAGATTGGGTGAATATGAAGGGTGGGGCATGGAAGTCGTGCTGTTTTTGGTCAAAAGCTGCTGAATACTCAGGCGGTGTGGGTAAGTGCATTGTCATGGTGGAAGAACCAGTCACCGGTTTGCCGCAACTTGGGACATTTCTTCCGCAAATTGTAACATAACCTTCTCAGAACTTCCAGATAAAAACTTTGGTTGACCATTTGATCTGGTGGAACAAATTCTGAGTGTACTACAAGGGGGCCCACTCTTCAAAAACAAACAAAAAAAGGTAATTCCAGTGTTTTTGGAGGTCTCCTCTTGTATGTGTGTATGCATATATATACGTGGCATGTGTGTGATATGTATGTATCCTCTATATTTCTGGCTGGAGAATCAGTAGAGTAATACTGTTGGTACTGACAGCAAATCTTTATAATTAGTCTTCTAAATCAGTACTTTAGCAAGATGAGTAAGCCAATGAAAACTCCCCTTAGTCTATTGTTTCATTATAGCAAGGCAAAGACTTAAAGATGTAATGGTACATCTGTTCTTATTTGGAACCCTTTTATATTTAAAAAATATTTTTAAAAACACATATTTTCCTCTCAGTAAAACACATATCCAAGAAAATATAGTTTCCAGGAAATCTGGAGGAAAACCTATGCTCAGAGTCTTTGCATCCCCCCAAACTTTTATTGTTCCAGATAACATTACATTCTTTTGTTTGTGTGAATGAATAAAACCACACTGCATAAGTTCACTTTGAATATTTCTGCCCTTCTGAGAAATGTAGACATAAAATATGTTTGAGTCTGAGGCATAGATTGATTAGACATCTAGTCCTAACCTAAAACCTAGGACACTAAAAAGAGACACTCATCAAATGAAATGAAACATTTGAACTTATTAAAAGGAAGGATGTTTAGAAACTAATAAGAATTCAAACATGCTCTTGCTTTCTCTTTTGTTCTCTCTCAAATAAAGTATGAGTGTTTGCTTCAAATTAAAATCACTTGCCAATTTGATTAACATGTTCCCTGTCAGTGCTTGTCAAAAACTCTGTTTCATTAAGAACAGTTTAAATATAACCAATATTTCATTATTGATTACAAAAATTCAGTGAGTTTAGGTTATAAATATATATCTTGTTTTCTTAAGGCTTGAATTTTATTGATAGTCAGCTTTTCTTAAGCTTAAATTTTGGCCATTTTCATTCCGCTTTCCTAATATCTGTCATATTCACTTCACTTTTATTTTTAGTTACTTGCTATTTTTCTTTAAATTGCCTCTTTTTAAAAGCTTAAATATTTATTTTATTCTATCCTAAACAGTATGTCTATTGGTATCATGAAATGTTGTACTAGATAATGTTAAAGAAAGTTTGTCTGTGTACCATCTAAAACTATGTATAAACTGGCAGTACATAATTAATAGTACATCTACACAGTCTAGCTTCTGACATGATTCTACAGTCTTGACTCAACTGACTATAGCTTTTATTTATCTTTATTTAGAAAGACAAAAGTTCATTATAATATAGGTACCAGGAATTGGATCAGCAGTACTCAGTGTCACAAGTATTTGTGGGACAAAGGGATGAGAGAACTGGTGATGAGACAAGAAGAAGGAGTAGTTTAATGGTCCTTGCCTCTCCTGCTGTGTCAGTTTTATAATTTTATTCAATCTATGCCAGCTGCTATATGCATGGCTAAGAAGTCTGAAAAATTTGTTAAATTCTACCTTTTGATAGTGAAGAGCTTATATTTGAGCATAATAGAAACATAAAGGAAATAGTATTAAAAAGCAAAATGAATTTTCTTATCACTGCTAATATGAAACTTGAATTGCTTCAGCTTCAGAGCCCAGATGACTTAATCTATGGCAGCTACTTTTGACTTGCTATCTTGGCTATACTACTACTACTAATAATAATAATAATAATTTCAACTTCAAAACTTCAATGTAATTGAGTCTCTCATGCCTATTGTCCAGTTGATTACATTTTAATTGGCCTAAGCACTTTATGCTGATCCTCAAACTCTTTCAGTAGCTATCCTTTCTATTTTTCTTAGAATAAACATTGACTCCTTTGGTTCTCCAACTCCTGAATCAAAAACTTGGAAAAGGCAAGAATTGCATTATCATCACTCTAAAGTTTTACATTTTCAAAGGCAGCTCCACTTCCAGAAAACATCATTTCCTCTTAGGTATTGTGTCCTTAATTTAAAGAATTATTTGGCTAGGGCTGTATGAGGTCAACTTACTAGGCTAATCATGTCCAGGACCTAGAATTTGTGCATCCATGATCAATTCTGCTATTTTTAAACCAAAACAAATAAAAAAAGCACTCTTCACTACCTGTATGAGTGTTGATGAAAGCCTACTTCTGTAAAATATTTATATAGGTTTATTGTGAGCCAAATTTGAGTGACCATACCTGGAAGTATAGTCACAAGAGGTCTCAAGAACATGTGCCCATGGTGGTTGGGTTGCAAGTTGGTTTTATACATTTTAAGGAGACAGAAGTTTACACACAATACGTCAATACATGCAACATATACATTGGTTTTACCTGGAAAGGCAAGGCATCTCAAAGCAGAGCTGAGGGGTCTTATAAGATATAAATGAGTTTTAGGAATATTTTAGTTGATTGTTAAGAGAGTTAAACTGTTGTCTAAAGACCTAAAATCAGGAGAAAGGAATGTCTGAATAAGATAAAGGAATTGTGAAGATCAAGGCTCTTATTATGTATATGAAAGTTCATAGGTGGTAGCCCTTAGAGATGGCAAATGTCTCTTATTCTGACTTTAAAGGTCTTAGACTTTCAGTTAATCCCTCTGGGATCCAGGAAGGCCTGGAAGGGGAAAGATCTGGTTATGTTACTGGAGATTCTATTCAGATGCAAATATTTTCCCACAAAAGATGGCTTTGCAGGACTATATAAAAATATGTCAAAGAAATATAATTTGGGGTAAAATGCTTTTATTTCCTTTAGGATCTGCTATCTGTCATGTGATGCCATACTAGAGTCAGGTTTGAATTTGGTATCTTATTTCTACAGGGTCTATTGCATAAGTTTTATGATCCCTATTTTAATGTTGATGCTAGTCAGTTTAAGGGTATAATGAGGCATGTCTGACCTTTCTTTTCGTAGTCTGGAATTTTGTTTTTCAGGTTACCCTTGGCTCTGAAGGGGTCCATTCTGTCAGTTGCAGAGTTTAGAATTTTTCTGCTGTTCACACATTTAAAAGAAAAATCCTTAAAGTAAGTGTTAAAGAAATACAAAAATGTTGGGTTTAAACAGAAATATACAGTGATTTAGTCACAAACTTGTTGAGATAGTTTAGAGGAGTTATTACAAATCAAGGACATTCTCACAATGCACTGACCAGGTGAAGCTTATGTTTTACTAGGAAACTGTCACTGGAGCTCTAGGGTCACAATGTCACCTCATAGATTATAAATTGACACAATGACATGTAGATATGGTGTCTTATGTCAGAGGAGACCTTAGAAAAAAATACAATTAAAAAGTTTTTATGTCCTTAATTGGTTCTAGATCACCAAACAGGAAATCTAGAGATACTAATGGTATAGAGTACTAGTTCTCAATGTGTATCAGATTCACCTGGAGGATTTATTAAAACAGAAATTTTTGAGTCTCATTCCAGAGATTCTGACTCTGTAGGCCTGATATGGAGGCTAAACATTTGCATATCTAACAAGTTGAGGTCACTGGTGTGAGGGAATCACACTTTGAGAAACGTTGGATTAGAGCCACATATGGTAAAGAAGTTCCATGATATTCAGATGGGTCAACAGTAGCATTTTCATATGCTGTAAATTAGAATTCAAAAGTCACAGAAATAGAGAGATGAACACTTATTGAGTGTTTATTCTGTATAATGCACTTTGTAGATGCTTTACATAGATGTTTTATTCAATTTCATTTTGGCTTTATTATCCAATTTTTTCAGATTTAAAAAATGGAATTAAGCAAATTAACTAACTTTCACAAGGTCACACAGCTATCAGGTGACAGAGATGAGATTCAAAACTAAGTCTATCTAGCATCAAAATTTATGGTTTTTCTACTAGATCACATTGACAAGGCTATTAGTCTACCTAACATGATTTTTTTTTCACTTAGAGATGCAGGGTTATATAGTGGAAGCACAATGCAGTGAGTGCCAGGACAATTGGGCTCCAACCCTATGTCATTAATTTCATTTATTGATCTATCAGTTCATGCACTCATCCATCACCCAACCCATCCATCCATCCATCCATCCATCCATCCATCCATCCATCCATCCATCTGTTATACATTAATTACTTCATCATTCCATTTGCTCATTCATTAAAACTTTGTTGAACATGTATAGTGTTTTAGCCTCTCTTTATGTGCAAATACATTATCTTCTTTAGTACTTACTGAATAAGTGCAATGAGAAGGTAGGACTACACTTTTAAGATCTCTTTCATTCTTTAAAGCCCAAAACTTATTGTTCTTCAGCAATGGGAAATTACAGATCTTTTCAGGCAAAGAAAGCTAAGTTCCTTCTCACAATAATGAATTTAGAGGAAAATCCCTACATAGTTATGGAGAAGCATTACTTGTATATAAAAAACACATTTTTCTGATAGTACTGAAAATATAGCTCTTTAGTTGAAGACTATGGTAGTTATAATAAAGCTGTTTTTGAATATCCCATAAATGTATATATATCAAATTTACAAAAAAGCATAATTTGATAGATTCCAACCACTTCAAGAGTACTTAAACCTTTAGCGCTTTATACTTAAGAAATAGTTCAAGCCAAATGGAG